CGGAAAAGGCCACCGAGCGCGATGTAAACAGCATTTGGGATATGACTCCATTTGTAAAACTCCACTGTTTGTTTTTTTGTCATGTACCGGATCTCGCGTTGTAAAATTCCCATCAATTGTGCGAACAGGACATTCGATTTCATAGAGAGCGTGAGTGATGATATTATAAAGGTACGCGCGTTTCAAGCTGCTATGAAGCAGTACACGCCCCACTACCACGGTGCCGAGCCTACAATACCTTCCTCTGCCGACAGACATTCATAGGTAAAGTCATGAAATTTTAATTAGTTGCTACACATCAAGCGCGACACACGGCACGCACGCCGAAGCGCACATGCGTCAGGCACCTACACACAGCAGCGACGCACACTCACACAAACAAACAGACATATACACACTAACACACATACTCACGCGCGCGCTCATCGCACACGCACGCACCCACGCTCGCAAGAACGTACGACCGAACCAACAAACAAACAAACAAACAAACGAACGAACGAACGAACGAATGAACGAACGAACGAACGAACCGACACGAAACGAAATGAACGGGAACGAACGAACACGAACGAACGTGTGACACGAACAAAACGAACGAACTCAACGACGAACGAACGAACGAACGAACGAACGAACGAACGAACAAACGAACGAACAAACGAACGAACGAACAAACGAACGAAAGAACGAACGAACCGATGAACCAACGAACGAATGAACGAACTAATGAACGAACTAATAAACGCGCGCTCACTCACGTACGCGCGCAAGCACACACCCTAGGGCACAATCGCACAACGTACAGCCACAGGTATTTCAAACTACGGTACTATCGGGAGTGTCATAATAATTATAGACACTAGTAATATAGAATATAGAACACATAATACACATATAGTCTATATTATGACACTCCTAATACTATTAGACGCTTACGTCTATAACGTTTGTATATGATGTATTTTCAGCGTCCTTATTTCCCACAACGAAATGAAGAGAGTGATCTTGGCGATACTACTGATCGTTTCCCTGGTGGCGTCCACGGAAGCGGGTAAGCGCACTCACACACGCTTTCTTATCAAGATTTTATGGGATAATTACAATCGTTTGCTACATAAAGGTCATATGGTATACAATGAAAAAAATTATTGCGTAGTAGCTTCAAATGTATCTGCAGTAGAATCGTTTCATGTTGTTATATTTTAAATAATCGCCCTAAAGCTATTTGTGTAGTATGTGTATAGGCGCGTGTTATAGAAGAATTTTAATTATTTCATTTTAGCATGCGGTGCGTACAACAGCCGATACCACATTTGCTGCAATGGAAGGGTCAGTTCTAGAGGTTATAGATATTTGATAAACGCATGCTGCAATACCACTGCGTACAACAGCCGAACCCACATTTGCGTCGATGGAAAGCCCATATGATAACGGTTCGAACACTGGATATGCCTAAACAATTCGTGTGGTTAAATCTATGCATACATCTATGTTTGCGATATACATGCATGTTGCGAACAGTAATCTACATGGTTATGTATGTGCACTGGCGGATTTCTCCATAAACTGAACTGATATGATTGAGTGCCACTAGTACATATGCTTATGAAATGGTAATGAATTATGTATACTGCGATGAACAGAGCGAATCTATCTATATTCTATTGCATGGTAACTTCACTATGATTGTCAAATGAAACGATTAATCGTATAATTTTGCGAGCAGTACGTTAATTTTTTTCTTTGGTTTAATAATTACGATTCACTAGTTATGTTGAAGCAATGTTAGTAAGTAGAGTTGTTAAAATCAATATCATATCATTATGATACTGAGAAAATTATAGCTACAAAATGTGAACATGTGTTTCTTATAATCTTACTAGTTTAAATGAGATTATATAAATAATTAAGAGCAAAGATCGCGAGAATTCGTGATGTAGATATATATATATATATATCAGCATTCAATATTAAAACTACGCATGGCTGTCAG